AGAGCCCCTACAGCAGCTGGGCTACAGGCGGGGCTAAAGCCCTGGAGAACCCAGGCAGCTGGGCTCCCCCCCGCCCCCAAGCTCCAGCCCAAGCCTGTGAAGCAATTTCTGCTGTTTTATTATTAAAAATACATGTTCTTCTGACAACTATGTTATATACAATCCCCTCCCCCACCCCGCCCCCCAAAAATCCAGGCGGCCGGGCCCCCAGCCCCCCGCCGAACCCAGGCATATTAGCGCTAGCCGTGGGCTGTTCTACACCGCTGCCGGCAGCTCCTCCCCAGCCTCAGCCACACCACGGAGATGGTCACTTCTTGGAGATCTTGGCCTGCTTGTGCTTGGGGGGGGCCCAGCGAAGACAAACCGAGTCCACTGTGGGGAGGAGGGGCGGGGGTGAGTCGAGTCCGGGCACGACTCACCCCACCCCAAGAACCCAGAAAAAGCAGCTGATTCTGGGGTGTGGGGTTAGGCGTCACGATGTGCCCACCTCTGGGGTGATGGACGAGTGCAACATGAGCCTGGGGCGAGGGCCGAGTGAAACACCAGTCAGGGGCACCCAGCTCTGGGGGTTGGGGGCAAACAGGTGGTGATGGCGGAGTTAACACTGCTGGAATACAACAGCTGACCGTGATGCAACCAGCTCTGAGGTAGAGTGGGTGAGACCTGGCCCAGTAGAACAGCTTATAACATGACCAGCTGCGGGGTGGAATGGCCAGGGAAGGGCCAAGTGTAGCCATTTAAGTAGAGCCATAGGCTTGAATTGTGTCCTGGGTTCAGGCATGATGTGCCCAGCTCTGGGGCAGCCAACGGTTAAGTGTAACAACCCAATATAATGCACCCAACTCTGAGGCAGACAACAGCCAAGCATAACAGGCCAGGATATTGCACCCAGCTCTGGGGTGGAACATGTGGGTGCAACGAGGCTCCAGGAGAGCTGTTAAGGGGGGGGTTGGGACTGGGATCCGGGTCTCTTAGAAGGGCACAAACCCGACCGCGGTGGGCCCAGCTGTGGGGCAGTGCCTGGCCAAGTGTTACAACCCTGTTCTGGGGCGGAATATCCAAGTGTAACAAAGCTCAGGAGAGCCCTCATGGCGGGGTTCCAGGGCGAGATAGGGCAGGGCCAAGCCCGGGTCATGCTGCACCCACCTCTGGGGCACCCAACGGCCAAGTGTAACACTCCAACACAATGCACCCAGCTCTGGCATGGAACATCTCAATGCAACGAGGCTCCAGGAGAGCCCCGGAAGCAGGGTTTTGGGGTGGGATTGGGGCCGGCCAGCCGCGTAGGGGCCAGGCTGGGTTGCACCCAGCTCTGGGGTGTGGTGGTGAGGTGGAACATACCAGTGATGGGCGGCTTCTTGTACTGGGCACTCTTGAGGTGCTCCTCCACCAGCTTGGGGGTGACACAGATGACGTGCTGCCCCTTCCAGTACTTCACCATGTTGAGCGACTGCAGCGTGCTGATGATGTCGTTCTGCGTGATGCTGGTCATCTGGCTAACGAGGGGGCGGGGTGTCAGGGGGTAGGGAAACGGTGCTAAGCAGGGAGGCTGGATGGGAGACGGTGGAAGCTGGCAGCTAGGGGCGGTGTTATGGGTCCCAGGTATCTGGGCATATTGGGACCAGTTAGGTGGACATGCTGATTGCAAGGGACCCATACCAGGATTGGTTAGGTGAGCAAGCTGGTTCCAGTTATCTGGGCGTGTTGGTTGCAGGAGTCTGGACATACTGGTTACAGGTTTCTGGGCATACTAGTCTCCCAGCTGTCTAGGCATGCTGGTTCCAGTATCCCAGCCGGAATGGTCCCAGGTATCTGGCCATACAATTCCCAGTTATCTGTGCACGCTGCTGCCAACAGCCCAGTTGTACTGGTCCCAGTTATCTGGGCATGCTGATGCCAGTATCCCAGCCATATTGGGCCCAGTTATCTGGCCAAATTGGTCCCAGTAGCCTGACCATACTAGTCCCAATTATCTGGGCATAATAGTCCCAGTAATCTGGCTATACTGGTGCCAATTATCTTGAGATACTGGTTCCAGTAGCCCCAGTTACCCCCAGCCCTTACTGGTTTCCAGGCAAGCCCTCCCTCTTAACTGGTCCCACTTCCCCAGCCATACAGGTCCCAGTTACCCAAACGTACTGATCTCAATCACCCAGAAATAACGGCTCTAGCCAGTCCCCTCTCCTTTACTGATTGGTTACCCAGCCATAGTGGTCCCAGTAAGCCCCTATTACTACTCTCAGTCTCTTGGCCCTAGTTTCACCCTGAAGACTAAGCAGGAAGGGGCCAATACTGGTCCCACTTTCCCAGCCATACAGGTCCCAGTTACCCAAACGTACTGATCTCAATCACCCAGAAATAACGGCTCTAGCCAGTCCCCTCTCCTTTACTGATTGGTTACCCAGCCATAGTGGTCCCAGTAAGCCCCTATTACTACTCTCAGTCTCTTGGCCCTAGTTTCACCCTGAAGACTAAGCAGGAAGGGGCCAAGCTCAGCCCCTGGATGGGAGACCAGCCAATGC